TCCCCTACCCTTAAGAATATAAAGAATGGGAATAGTGAGGAGATGGTCCTAATAAAATAGAAACATGCACCATGGTAAGGAGAGAGAAGAAAGGCTCGTTTAAGACCCTTAAAAGGACATGGCCAACCCCCCCAGGCCTAAAATGTCCTGTTTGAATTAACATAGTGGTTTAATTAAAAACTAAGTAGAGAATTCTGCTTAATTTGATTTTCAATTCAAGCTCTGCATCCGCCCATGGCTAGTGGCCAATTTCCGCCTCTCGGCACAATATGCAAGGGGCCGTTTTAAAATCGATCGCCCAGGGGAATCAATGGGAGTACGGTGGAGCCACAGGCCATTCAGGGACTCCACCAGACTTAGACACAGTAAAACAGCACCAGGAGGGTGGTCAAAGGAATAAAAAAGAAATTTAACTTAACCATATTTCAAGTTTGTCATTACTCAAATCATTGTGCTGAATCTACCAGTTAGAAGTGTTTTCTAAGCCCTCTTCAATAGCCCTTCAGAACTAGATAAGTCTAAAGCCAATGAGCAAAGAGCTTTAAAGGATATACACTTATTTGTGGAGCATAACAAGTAACATGGAGGACATGGGGAGATGGAGAGGAGAAGGGAGTTGAGGGAAATTGGGAGGGGAGGTGAACCATGAGAGACTATGGACTCTGAAAAACAATCTGAGGGGTTTGAAGCGGTGGGGGATGGGAGGTTGGGGGAACCAGGTGGTAGGTATTAGAGAGGGCACGGATTGCATGGAGCACTGGGTGCGGTGCAAAAACAATGAATACTGTTACGCTGAAAAGAAATAAAAAATAATAATAATAATTTTTAAAAAAAAGGATATACACAAAGGAATACACTCTTGCTAGCCAGCTATGTAAAACGTGTCAATGACTGTGATGCAGTCACTTCAATGAGGCAACAATTAAAGTCTGGGGTCCAGTCTACAATATTGTGTAAAGAACTATAGATCTTAACAAACATTAGGTAAAATCTGCACAAGTCAACTCCTAGGATCATATATTAGGAAAACAACGAAAGGCTTAAACATATACTTTACACATTAAGACTTAACCATGCAATGTTAATAACTCTTGCAGCTTTCAAATAATTGATTTTAAAACCGAAAAACATGAATTTTTACAATTATATGTCATGATTACTTTAATCTTAAAGCTTTCCAAACAATTCTAACAGGGTCGAGAATGTACCTTATCTTCAAGCAGGTGTGATTCTGCTTCAGTCCATGCCATTTCAAAATGGGAAAAATAATTTGTAACCTTAAAATAGCCCAAGATAATATGTGAATAATTAAGAACTGACTGTACTGTATTCAGTTGCTTTCTGGTGATCCCATAGAACATTTACTGGCGAAATGCAGTAAGCTCTAGAATGATGGCACTAATAGCAAACATATCCTGGGCTATGTCTTTTACATGAATATTGTCCTCTCATTTAATCCTTTAAATAATGCAGTAAGGTAACAATCATTACTATACCCATTTTACAGAAAGAGAATGTGAGGTCCAGATGAAAAAACTAACCCAGGCCATGAGACTCAAAGGGCAAATTTTCTCACCGTAGCGCCCTTACCCTCCCATCTCTGCCACAGGCCCCTTCTTCTGTGCACAAAGAGGAGAATCATTCTGCCTCTTCCGCCTCCAGGCTACAGCCTCATTTTCCCTTCCCTCCTCTGAAAGCTTTAAAGACCAAGTTCTTTCATTTGGTTCCTACAACTCCCAGTCATTGTCCAGTGACAAGTACAGGTCAGACAAGCGGTACCCAGCTATCCCCAGCTGTCTCCTTGCCCGCCTTTCAGTCCTTTGCTGAGCTGGGGAACCACCTGGACTGGCCAAGCCGACTATGCCTCGAACACATCAGTCCCCTCTGAGATCATGAAATGGAGCTGGGGATCTTGAGGGATTCAGAGGAGACCAACATGGTCAAAGATGTGCTTAGAAAAGAATATTGTTTAAAGTGTGTATGGACAGACTAGATGTAAAAAAAAAAAAAAAAAAAAAACCTGAGAGGAAAGAATGCTGTACAATTGTAGGCGTGAAATATCTTCAATTACCTTCTTGTGTCCCTCCTCAAGCTGCTTCTCCCCTTGGACCTTAGTCTCCAAGGGGGAACAAGAGAACAGTGACATATCACTGGGTTTCTGTCAGGTTTTTTTTTTAATTCTAGAGATGGTAATTCTGTTCCAGTAAATGTAGCCAAGACCCTCTTCTAGTTGGTCAGTTCACAACAAGGGAGGAAACCAATCTGGAGACAAAGAGTCTGTGCACATTACAAACTTTTTTTTAAAAAATAACCTATTTAACTAAAAACTAGAATTTTATAAAGAGTATAAATTAGGTAGAAGCACGTATACTACTTTCAAATATGAAAATACAGCTAACACTGAGCTTTACCAATTGTTTTTGTACTTGGTAAGATTACACACAAGGTGGAGATAGGACGAAAGAACAATTTGCATATTTAAAGCAAACATCAACATAGCAACGTTGGTGACATATGTTGCAACACTCTGTTTAACGGGAGTAGGTGTGTGATTGATTCAGTACGGTGCTATCTCTACAAAACAGCGTTTCACATTGTCTGGTGCGTGTACTCCTTCCCTTAGTGACATATGTTTAAACTCCGACATGTGTATTTATCTCTATACTTAAATAAAACAGTAGTTGCAAAAATCATTTTCAAAAGTCTTTTGCCAACTCCCTGTTATCTATACCACAAAATCCAAACTAACTGGCAGACCATTCAAGGCGTCCCAGATGTGACCCCAACAAGATTCCATGAACCCTGATCTCTGACCAATTCTCTGTTCTATAGCTTAGTGCCAGCCATTCCCTCAATCCAGGCAGAATCCATGCCTTTGCTCAAGCCTGGAACGCCACGCTCCAGCAAAAGCCTATTCATTCCTTCAAGTCTTAGCTCAAGTGCAGGCGGACCCCTCCCGTGAAGCCTCCCCAATTTCCTATGCAAATCAAGACTTTACTCCTTCCAGTGCCTCCCATCACAACGGGCTGCAAAAAAGTTCATCACACCACATCCCATTTGATTGCAACTCTTTCTCCTTCTATCTCTGGAAGGCAGGAGCCCTGGCTTTTCATTTCTGTCCCAGCAAGGTCCTATAGTAGCATAATTACTTCCTAGTAGGTGCTTCATAAAACTCTGTTGAATGAATGAATATCCATCAAAAGCTTTGGCTCTAAAATTATACAGAAATCACTTTCTCAAGTGTCTCCTATGCTGTCACTTCTTGGTGTTCATTCTTTCCAGCCCTCTTTAACACAATATTTTACATCCCATTCTTCCAGAAACCCTGTCTTCTGGCTTCCACAAAACCACACTCCTTTGCTCCCCTGCTTTCTCACAGGACCTGCTCAGCAGCCTCCTTTGCTTCCTTCCTCTGCCGGCCAGTCACAGAGTAGTCCTCTTTTCTGTTCCAGCCCCATTTGTCCTTGGCCACCTCATCCACTTGGGCAGCCTCAATAAACTCCACAGTGTTGACATGTGAAGATCAACCACTCTGGGATGGTTAAAACCACAAGGTTTTGGTACCAGTTCTGGAATTGTACATATGTGGCCCTTAGACAACGTACTAACATCTAATATATTTGGACCTCAGTTTTCTCCTTATAAAAGGAAGGTCTGCACTACATCCCATTCAGCAAAACTCCTATAACTTCTTCAAGAAGTCTTAAACAAAGAGCTTTTTAAACTGAAACTACACAATTCTTTCACATTATACAGATGACTTAAATAATTCAGATATACCACGATAAAAAACAATTCCAGTATATCAAAGCCAGTTTTCTCAACGTCAGGTCTGACTACCAAATATAACCAACCATTCTGATCTCAGGACATTTATTATATATGACATCAACTCTGAATTTTCAGGCTCAAACTATTCAAGCATGGAGTAATATCTAGAAAGCAAGAAGGTACATCCGCTAAAACAATACCCTATCACCAATCAGTGACTCTTTCCTGGCATCCTTCAACAAAAGGATCTAAAAAGTACTGTACTTAAGGTTTAAAATCAAAAGACTTGTCAAAATGTAAGACTAAACAATTTCATTGCTACAAAAAGTTATACGAAATAAAAAGTCATAAAAATTCAGTTTACAGCTTCCCTTGCCAAATGTATTGAGCTGGCATTAGAGTACTGTTCAACAGTAAGACGCACAGGCACACCTGCACTTCACATGGCACAATACAAATAGAACTAGCAACTAAAAAGGTGTAATGTGTCCATAAGTAAACAGTAACTCAGAACTCATTTTTGCCAAAAAGTATTAACTACTTAAATCTTTGTATTATATTCCATATGGTTATATGGTTAACCATTTGCTATATGGTTATAGCAAAGACCCCCACAAGCCATAAACAGGAACATCATTTGTTTCACTTTAAAATGTCATTTTCAAAGACAGATGAAGTTATTACCACTGATACAGTCTGGACTGATTGTTTAAGATGCTCTTGCAAAGTCTCCTGTTATGCTCACTTTTAACCTCTCACATTCACTAAGATCAGTAACTCACAGTACCTTGAGAATCTGACTATCTACAGGGCATGTTTGATTTTATAATATGCTACTTTCCTGAAAATACAAGATATAAAATAACTTCTACATCAAAATATGGTTTAATATTTTGAGAATTTCATGTCATACTTTACACTAAATGCAAGAGAGCCTACAAAAGGAAGAACGGCTGTCTTATCAGCTTTATTCTCTACAAATACTCCAAGTTTACAGGTACTATAAAAACCTTCAAAGGTCAAAAATGACTTCCTCCCTATGGAACAAAATCATTCAATATGCAATATTATTAGTATTATTGTCAACATGATTAATATTAATAAGATGTCATTATTACTAATTAAAGTTTTTATATTTCAAATGGTTGTTCAAGCCTGTTTTTACAGGTTCAACATGAATGACATATACTTCTTTCCACAAATTTAATTCCAAAATATGATTCACTTACCTTTTTCAGGCCAGCAAAACCTTCTGACTCCAGAAAGAAAAAGGCAAAGGGCATCAACACAAATAAACAAAGGTTGGAAAAGAGAGAAGCAAGATTCCACAAGCCTATAAGGAGGTAGCAAAAAAAAGAATAAAAAGATTAGAGACAGGCCTTCTCAAAAAAAAATTACTATGCTAAATTATGATGTTAGTCAAAGAGCTATACTTTTTAATAATAAAAATAAACATAAACTTGAAGACAGTAGCCTAACAAATCACCTAAACTTACAAATGAGAAAATAATTACACATCCAAATTTCTGTAACTTTGTAGCTTGTACCTATTAGGAAAAACCGATGTAGAAACTAGAAATATTTTTCTCCATGCCCTAAAACAAATTCACTAAAGATATGCCAAATGCAGAGATCCAAGAGAGTCTCTTTAGATACACCAGCATCTGAGTATTTAAAGTAGAGCCACTAGCATTTATTGAGCACTTAATAAATGCCAGATACTCTACTAGACATTTTACATGCACCATATCATTTAATTTAAGCCCAAGCAAAATAAGTCAATCAGAGATAGACAATTATATGATCTCCCTGATATGAGGAATTTGAGAGGCAGGGCAGGGGCATCATGGGTGGGAGAGAAGGAGAAAATGAAACAAGATGGGATAGGGGAGGGAGACAAACCATAAGAGACTCAATCTCAGAAAACAAACTGAGGGTTGTTGAGAGGTGGGATAGGATGGCTGGGTTATAGACATTGGGGAGCGTATGTGCTATGGTGAGTGCTGTGGATTAGTAAGCCTGATGATCCACAGACCTGTACCCCTGGGGCAAATAATACATTATATGTTAATAAAAACAAACAAATAAATAAATATTTAATTTAAGCCTAATAAAAACACTAAAAGTAATAATTAGCACTTCTTGAGTCCTTCTGTGCCAAGCACTATTCCGAGTGATTTACCAGTCTTATACGAACTTGTGTATTCCTCACAGGAATCCCCCAACAAGACAGAGCATAGGCTGGTTATATAACTTAGCCAAGGTTGCAGAGTCTGCCAGTGGCAGAGCTAACTCCTGGGATTTTTAAAAATCACTATATCATAGAAGGTTAAGTAAGCAATTCTAAGTGGGAAGGAAAATGTAAGAAAGGCAGACAAGTTCATATCACCTTTTGGCACATTCTGTACTCTTACAAAACCACAATAAAGAGCTACTAAAATGATAATAAATAGATTTAGGAAAAGAAGACTAAGTCTATCTTTGGGATTATGTTTGGCCAAACATCTTACACCTTTTATAGGTAAAACATTCAAATTTAAAAATGATTTTCAAAATAATACCTGTAATACTTACAAAATCAAGAGTTAAAGACAAAATTATGCTAAGTATAAATTCAATCTATCACATGCACTTATCACTCAGTGCTTTGGAAAATGGGCAAGAAGTGTTCTTTCAAAGCTCTTATTTAGAAGGCAGTGTTCCAAGCACAAGAGACACAGGAACGAACAAAACCTTTTTAACCAAAATATGGTATGAGGAGTCTTTTCAGTTTCAGCCATTCTAACAGGTATATAGTGGTATCTCTTTACTGTTTAAATTTGCATTTCCCTAAATCAATAAAAAATAACATGAACATCTTCATGAACTGATCTGCCGCCCATCTGCATCTTCTTTGGTGAAGAGTCTCTTCAAGTCTGTTGCCCATTGTTTCATTAGACGTTTGTTTACTTACTGTTGAGTTTGGCAAGTTCTTTACATATGCTGAATACAAGTCCTTTTTTATCAGGTATATAATTTGCAGATATTTTCTCCCCATCTGTAGATTGTCTTTTCATCTACGTTTTTAACAAGTATCTTCCAAAGAACAAAATTTCTTGATTTTGACAAATTCCAATTTACCAATTTTTTCTTTTACAGATCATCATTCCCAAGAAATTACGGTCTATTCCAGTAATACTAACACTTTCTCCTATGTTTCCTTCAACAAGGGCTACAGCTTTAAGATCTACATTTATATCTATGATCCCTTGAGTCACTCTTTGTATGTGGTGCCAGGTATGGACTGAAGTTCATTTTTTTCTCTATGACTATCCAATTGCTCCAACACCATTTGTAGAAAAGAATACTCTTTTTCCACCAAATTGCCTTTGCACCTTCACTGAAAATAAACTGACAGTATATGTGTAGATATATTCCTGGATCCTCTATTCCATTGAGTCGATCTATTTAGCTTTATGCTGATAACACACCATCATGATTACATGGCCTTAAAATAGTTTTTGAGTTGGGTAGTAAGTCTTCCAATTTTGTTCACTTTCAAAGTTGTTTTGGCTATGCTAAGTCCTTTGAATTCCCAACTCGATTTCAGATCAGCTTTTCAATTTCTACCAAAAAAGGGGGAAAAAAAAAAAAAACCCTTCTGGGATTTTCGATGAGATTGCATTGAATTGGTAGACCAATCTGGAGAAAACTGACATCTTAACATTGTCTTCTTATCCATGAACATGGTATATCTCTCCATTTATTGTGGCATTCTTTACTTTTTGTCAGCCGTGTTTTATACTGTTAACTGGAATTAGAGTACTGTTCAACAGTAGTATATATATATAAAATATATATACATATGCATATATATATATATATATTTATATATATATATATATTTAGTATATATAACAGTAGTATATATATATAAAATATATATACATATGCATATATATATATATATATATTTATATATATATATATATTTAGTATATAGGTCTCTCACATCCCTAAGTATAACATGATTCTAATGCTACTGTATACAAGTGGCACTGTTTTTTTAATCAATGTCCACTTATTCATTGCAAGTATACAGAAATACAGTTGAGTTTTGTATATTTATTGTGTATCCTGCAACCCTGCAAATTCATTAATTGGTTCTAAGGGCTTCTTAATAATAAACTCTACCACAATTTCTATATAGACAACCATATCATCTGTTAGTAGAGACAGTTTCACTTTTTCCTTTCCAACCTCAATGTTCTTTATTTTCTAAAAATCACCATAACAATGTTGGATAGAAGTGGTGAGAGGGGACATCTTTGCCTTGTTTCTATTCCCAGGGAAAAGCATTCAGTCTTTCATTAAGCATAATGTTACCTGTAGGGTTTTTACAGATGCTCTTTATTAGGTTGAAGAAATTCCCTTTCATGCCTAATTAGCTGAGAGATTTTATCAAGAATGGATGTTGAATTTTTCTTGATATTTCTGCATGTATTATGGTGACTTTTCTTTTTTAGGGTTTGAATATAGTAATTACATTCATTGATTTTTCAAAAATTATAATGTATTATTCTTTTTATATATTGCTACATTTGATTTACTAAATTTTGCTTAGAATTTATGCATAACTCTCTTTTCTTGTAATGTCTGTCTGGTTCTGGGAACAAGGTAATGCTAGGCACCATGAATTAGGAAGTATTCCTTCATTTCCAATTTTCTAAAAGTCTGTGTAGAAACTGGTACTGCTTCTTCCTTAAATATTTAATAGAACTGAGAGTGAATTCTTCTTGGCCTACAGTTTTATTTGTAAGAACATATGTAACATTTCTACATCTGTGAGACTTCAGTAGTTTTTGCCTTCCAAATTTTCCCATTTCTCTAAGGTGTTGTATTGACATAAAGGTGTTCACAATGTGCACTAATTATCCTTTCAATACCTGTAGAATCCATAATGATGTCACCTCTTTCATTCCTCTTATTAGTAATTGGTGTCTTTTCTTTTTTTCTTTTTTGCTAATTAACCTGACTGCAGCTTTATTAATTTTATTGATCTTCTCACTTTCTCTGTATTTTCTGTTTTCTATTTCACTGATTTTTCCTCTTATCTTTTTTTTATTTCCAATCTTCTTAATTTGGTATTCATTTGCTCTCCTCTTCCTGTTTTCTTAAGGTAGGAATTATGGGCACTGATTTAAGACCTTTTTTCTTTTCTAAAATGGACATTTTAGTGCTATAAAATTTTCAAATGTTTTATTTTTGTTTTCATTTAGTTCAAAGTACTTTCAAATTCCCCTTCTAATTTCTTCTTTGACTTATTAGTTATTTAGTTACCAAATAATTGAGGGATTTTCTAAGTATGTTTCTGCCACTGGTTTCCCATTTAATTTCATTAAAGAACATATCCTATATGTCTTAAATTCTTCTAAAAGAATTGAGATTTACACAAAACAAACTGAGGGTTGCTGGGGTGAGGGGAGTTGGGAGAGGGTGGTGGGGTTATGGACATTGGGGAGGGTATGTGCTATGGTGAGTGCTGTGAAATGTGTAAACCTGGTGATTCACAGACCTGTACCCCTGGGGCTAATAATACATTATATGTTTATTTAAAAATTTAAAAATTAAAAAAAAGAATTGAGATTTATTTTATGGCACAGAATATGGTCTCTCTTGGCAAATGTGCCTAGTATACTAAAAGAATGTATATTCTACTGGTGTTGGGCAGAGTGGTCTATAAATGCAAAGTAGGCCAAATTAGGGTCACCTGGGTGGCTCAGTTGCTAAGTAAATGCCTTAGGCTCATGTCATAGTCCCAGGGTCCTGGGATTAAGCCCCACATCAGGCTCCCTGCTCAGGAGGAACCCTGCTTCTCCCTCTCCCTCTGCTTGCTGCTCCCCCTGCTTGTATTCCTTCTCTCGCTGTGGCTCTCTCTGTCAAATAAATAAATAAAATCTGAAAACATAAATAAATAAATAAATAAATAAGGTCAAGTTAGTTAAGAATGTTATTCAAATCTTCTATCTTGTTCATTTTCTTATTTTGTTCCATCAATTATTAAAAAGAAGATATTAGTAAATCTGAATAGAACTGTGATTTTGTTAAGTTTTCTTACTCTAATTTGTATTTTTTACGTACTCTAATTTGTATTTAATTTAATTGATTTCTCTAAGTTTTTGCTTCATGTATTTAATAGCTACTTATTAGGTAGAGAAATGTTTATTATGTTTTGATGAATTAAGTTCTTCATCATTATGAAATGATCTTATTTATGCCTGGCAAAATCGATACCCTTTTCTAATAATAATAATATACCTACTCCAGCTTTCTTTTTATTAGGATTAGCATGGC